GTACTTTCTCCTTTTTTGATTAATTATACTAGTCAACTCTCTTTCTTTCTCCTTTACTCCCTCCCTCCTTCCTCCTTCTTTCTCTCCCTCCATTCCTGCTTCCTTCCCTTACTTCCTCCCTCCTACTCTACTTCCTTCCCCTCTTTTTCCCTTCCTTCCTTCCTTCTTTCTCTCTTTCTTCTTTGACTGCTTGCTCTCTTTAGTATAATTTTCTTTTTTTCCCAAAAAGCAACTGCTATCATGAAAACAGTGTTCCAAAGCATTTTTAATATGTTTACTGCATGCAAATGTGTACACACATACATATTATAACTTTTAAAACTGCATCCTCTTTGTAGTAGGAAAATGGTGAGGCTAGGACATACCAGGCAATTAGGAAATACTTTAACTGCTTTGAAGACAAAGTGATGACTTTTTTTTAGAAGTACTTCACTTTTTCCACTTTTATTTATCAATTCTAAGTAATTTTTTAAAAATGTTTGGGAATCTTTTATTTGTCATCTGAGGGAAAAAGCTAATTATACTGCCTAGGGATTTCCTTAGGGCTATCTGCATTTCTTTGTTTCTCAGACTGTAAACTATGGGGTTAAGCAGAGGCGTCAGCACTGTATATGTCACAGCCATCAGCATGTCTTCAGGGAAGGAGTCACTGTCCTTGGGCCTCAAGTAGACAAAACAAGCAAATCCATAATGTATGGACACGACAGTGAGGTGGGAGGAGCAAGTGGAAAAGGCCTTATACCTCCCCTTTGCAGAGGGCATTTTCATGACTATGAACACAATGAAGACATAGGAAATCATAATTAAAATAAAGCTGCCCACCAGCACAAAGGCAGAGAGCACAAAAATAGCCATTTCATGATAAGAAGTGTAATCACAAACAAGAAAGACCACAGGTGAAATGTCACAAAAGAAGTGCTGGATAGTGTTCAAGTCACAAAAAGACAAGGTGAATATAGTGATGACAATGCAAAGAGAAACCAGGAAGCCAACTACCCAAGAAGCCACCATCAACTGCAAGCAGGTCTTTCTTGTCATAAGGGTGTGATAGTGAAGCGGGTTGTGGATGGCTGTGTACCGGTCGTAGGACATGGCAGCCATGATGAAACAGTTGTTGGCTGCCAAGCCCAAAAAGAAAAACATCTGTGAGGCGCACTCAGGAAGAGAAATGGTGTTGTTCTCTGATAGCAAGTCCACTAACATGCGGGGGATGACTACCATAGTGGTACAGGTTTCTGAAAAGGACAGGCCACAGAGGAAAAAGTACATGGGGGTGTGAAGGTTGTGACTGAGCTTGATGGCCACCATTATGGACACATTTGCAGCTAGGATGGTCATATGGGAGAAGAAAATCACTGCAAAGAGTAAGTTCCGTAGATCTGGGAAACTGGAAAATCCCCATAGAAGGAATGTGCTCACTGCAGTGTGATTGCCCATCTTCCTGGTGGGCACAGCCACTTTCTACCAATGGTGCAAAGTCTTGGTCAAGACTCTGAGATAACTGTAAAATGCTCCTTATGCATCGATGTTACCTGGACTTTAATTCAGGGTCTCTGCACAAGTGTAAGGCAACTCTTAGAGAACCTGAGAAAAGGAAGTTAAATCCACCTGGAAGAAGTCAATGTCAGGAGTCTGAATGATGAGGAAAGTGATGCTAGTATAAGAATATGTACCAATGTCCAGGGTGGGCCCAAATATCTTCTTGGATTCTAGCACTCAAGCACTCTTTATCTCTCTTTTCTCCATCACAGATCTGCAAAGAAGAGGCAAAATAGGAATAAAAGTTCTTTGATCTCACTTACTGGATTTTGAGATCCCATATTTTTCAAATGCTTTTTGTGATCTAGTGGTACCCTGGCACTCAGGAGTGCTTAATAAACTGTTGATTGAATAAATAAAATAATTCAATGATTTAAAATTAATTTAGAAAATTCTGGAGATACTGGTGAAAATTTCCAAAAGAACTTTCACATTTCTTTTGATTCTGTCTTCATTAGTGCTCTCCACAATGCAGTGGCTCCAAAGGTGGTATTTGTGGCAATGCCTAGACCAGATAAATTAACACGTAACTTCTGGGTTCCTATCTGTGGTAATAATTGAAGTTTGAGATATACAATATCAATTGTTCTTCATACAATAATTATT